CGTTCCGTAGGGGAGAGAGAGCAAATCGGCGGCGGCGGAGACAAGGTTCAAATTGGAAGAGAGAGAGAGCAAACGGAGGGAGAGAGCAGACGGAGGAGAGAGAGAACGCAAATGTCGGAGGAGAGAGAATGAAACTGATAATGAAGAGAGAGAAATCGACACTGCTTTTTAGGAGGAAAATTATTGTTTTATTAATTTATTTTAATTTTATTTGTTTTATAATATAAGGGTATAATGGAAATTGTACATATGGAGAGGGTATATGTGAAGGGGTTATTTTTTTTTTTCTGAGACAAGGGTACTCCATGAAGTACAAGTAGCATTTTAAGGGCATTATTGATAATGCCCCAGTTAAAAGAAAGATATGAGCGTATATATAGATATGTACCGGAGTTTGGTAAGTTCTGGTCGAAAGCTTCAATGTCATGTGGGCGGTCGACGTCCAAACCAATGCTCATCATCTGATAGAAAGAGGCGAGTGAATCTTGAACCATCACGAAACCGGCTTCAACCCTCTCCGCACAGTACTGCTCCATATATAAACTCCTTCACTTTCTCGTTGCTTTGCTCATTGAAACTGCACTAGTCAGTTGTATCAGAAACCGCAGAAAATATGATTTTAAGACAGAATCTCCATCCATGTTGACGTTGTTATCAGGAACAGGAGAGATAGACAGACTTAACTGGAATGTATGGTACTGATACTCCTCGGAAGTTGCAGCGTCGGGTTGAACCTCGAGATTTGCGTGGCAGATTTTCCCGATTCTTCCGTGAACTTCGAGTCTCGTGATCTGTTGGCCTGAGTTTACGAAACAAGGGTTTTGGCCGTTTTCGAGACAGCGGAAAAATCGGCCTGGAATCATTGGAAAGATACCTACCGTTGGTGTGAATGAATTCTCGAAGAAGTTGGCAACAACTACAGACGAACACATCCTCGGATGATGTCCGACGAACAGAGGCAGGCATCGAAGTTTCGCCGGCTTCATAACAGTTCGATCGATCATTACTCATCTCCCAACTGCTCGCTTCGAGTGTACTGCCCTCCCCTAATTTGTTTCCCTCTCCGACATTTTCACGGCCCAACTGTCCGATATTCATCCACGACAGTGTCTGGTCATTGTCCGATCCACGAGGATCCGTCATCGCTTCCAATTCTCGAGGATTATGAGCGTTACCAGCCTCCATTGACGCAGGAGGAGGATTAACGTCAACGACGGGATCACTGAGGGATAAATCCACGAGACTCGGGTTCAAGTCCGAGATGACGTTGAAGAGTTCTTCCTCGGTGAAAGGACCATCGTAAGGGTCATGGTACGGGTCATCGGGCGCGCCGGTGCTCGGATCCGCCATTGGTGGAAGTTCCAGAACTCGAAGTAGGGCTCTTTTTCAGAGGGGAATGAAGTGTGTGGTCTGTCTCTCAAGCACCAACCGGTGCTTGAGAGAGTGAAAGAGGAAGAGACATGTTGGATCATCGCAGGGCTTAAATAAACGAACGGGCGTGTGTAAAGACAGAACAGCGAGTGAAAAGGCGGGAGCGGCGGCAGTTAACTTAACGGCCGTTCTCCTTTCAATTGGACGTTCATTTTAAATTATTAAAATGGATTTTTTTAATCAAATGATTAGATTAATTTTAATTACACTATGGGTTTTTTATTAAAAAAATCTAAATTTATATTTTTATCAGCATTAGATCTACGTATTTAGGGACAATGAAGGCTTATGGAATTACAGACATAACATTTACAAAAGAAACGACTTTGAAACAAAACATATTTCATATTCCTTCATTGCCGGAATAGAAAAAAAAAAAACAGAGACGACACTCCCAATTCTGGTTATATATTACAATGAGAGACTCAGGAAAGAACACATGGACCTTACCAACAAAATGTTACAGAGATTTGGCCCCTTCTCCGATCCATTTTAGATACTTGTATATATACACACACACATATACTAACCTCAGTTATAAACAAGACTCTTTCTTCTTCTTCTTCCTCCTCCTCCTCCTCTCCTCGATCTCCAAGGATAAACAAAAATGTTGGCTAAAAAATTGTTCTCCTCCATTGTTAGGATGATGATGGTGGTGGTGACGACGGCGTGGTCTTAGGAATACCGGATTTATGTACACTTAGAAATTGGTTTCTAAGCCATGGCAGGGATGCTCGAGTTTTGGCGGTCCCTGTCCAGGCAATCGAATCCTTCTACTCTAACTGCGGCTGGCTTCAGCCCGAACTTCATTCTAACACAACCTCCCTTCCCACGTGGTGCCACCACCGATGTTGGAGACGGGAAACCCGCCGACAAGGGCGAGGGCGAGATAGGGTTGAGTTTCTCGTCTCCAAAACGAGCATCTTGCACTTGCGGGTTCGATGCCCGGCTTGGAGGCGACCCGCAAAAAAATGGGGGTGATGAGGCCACCGACAATAACGATTGCCCTGTTCCATAATCCTCCTGAAGAGGAAGAACAATACACGCTCAGAATGCTTCTCACCGATTTTACAATCGTCTATACAGTTTCTGAAACAGATATATATTACCTTTCTGAGGATTATGTCCAGAAGATCTGCCCCGGCTTTAGAATCACACACCTCGGAAGCTTGACTGCAACCCAAAACAAAGCCATTGTCATATCATTGATGAGACTTTCTTTTCAGATCAGTGCAATTGTGATGTTACTGCAGTAAAGGTAGAGACTTTTCGTATACCTCATGTGCAATCTAAGCGGTCGAATGACGTTGTTGGCGAGTATACCGACACGTCGGGGCATAGGGCAAACGACGGGGTCCTTCGGGTCAGAGATGGGAACGAATCCTCCCCTCATTTCGTCGCGGGAGACAAAGGCGTTCTGCTGAAGGCTGCAACGATTCATCTTCGAACCACCTTGATCTGCAGAAGAACGCCTAACCTGTGCATCGCAAGACAGATCAAAACCCATATTATTACGAGTTCTGAGCGCTTCAGATCCGTAGATCTGAATTAAGAAAACTCACAAAAAGTTGCAAAATTTTCGAAACTTATCAAGGGGTAAGCAAACCTAAAATTCTGGGTACTCTTTTTCGAGAATCAAAACGACAGACAACACTTGATAAGATCTCAATAATTTCCCCTCGGATCGTGCGGATGAGAAAGATGAGATGGATCTTGAACAACGCGTCTCAAACAAAAGGGGAAAATCAGCTTTCCCCCCAAAATCAGACCCCAAACTCACGAATCGCCTAGGGGAAAAGCAGATCACTCAAAATTATAAAGCAATCGTCTTTATAAAGGTGCTCGAAACGGAATACAGTTCGGATCGGCCTAACAAGACGTTGACCAGATATCTACGAGCAAACCCAGATCCCGTAAAATTTGACCCGACCCAAAAAAAAACGAGATTACAAGACTAAAAAGGAACAGGACAGAAATAGAAACGCCAGATCTGAACCAAACCCTAGGAAGAAAAACTAACTCTACCCTGTCATGTCCGCCATAAACGGAGAGAAAGATATATAGGATCACGAAACAGATGAGATGAGATGAGGAGAGAGAGAGAGAGAGAGAGAGAGAGACCTGAAGGATTTCCCCGGGAGAGAGAGAGAGAGAAAGATATCCACAACGAGGCCGCCGCGTTAACAGAGAGGGAGCGAGAGTTGAGATGAGGCTATGAAATGGCTTTTATAAAGTGTGGCCGAGGAGAGATAGTTCATAACGACGTCGTTTCTGGGGTTTATTAGGGATGTCTTTATTTAAATAATATCAAATTTAATCAGTGTTTTTTTTTTCAAAATATGGAATATATAAGGGTAAGTTTACTTATTAAAATTTTTAAAAAATTATGGCATGCGGATGGACACAAATACACGTGTCGCTTATAGATTGGGCTGTTTCCTACCTAACCTCACCGCCTCGTATGGGATATTCCGGTTTGCCCGCCAGTGCGTTGACACGTATGCTTGTGAGTGTGTTGACAATTATTCATTGCTTGTCAAAACAGTGGAAAAAATCAAAACTTTATTTTCTAATATTGGAACGCGACTAATGAAAATTTAAAAAAAAAATCAATTTGATTACGTAATTTCGAAAACTCGGAATGATTCGATCCACCACAAAATGGGACCGCAAATCCCGATGATTATGTCTGGGGACGCCCATGCCATTGTCGCGACTCGTGGCCTCTTTGTCGGATCCGGTCTTTCATGTTATTGAAAAAGAACAGTGTTCCGATCCGAAATTCGTTTACTTTTTCGCGTTCAGATTGCGTTGTCGGCGATGAGAGAGAAGAAATGGCTCTGAATTTTTGTTCATGATTATCCATTTATTTTGTGGAAAAAAAGTTTTCCTTTTTCTCCTCGGCGTGTTTCCAATTCCTTTTTTTGGGTAAATACTAAATACCCATTGAAATTTCTGAAATTTTCTGGGTTTGATTCATTGGGTTTGCCAAAGGGAAGATATTTTAGGGGCTGTGGATAGATAGAGAGAGGCATCGGTGCTGCTGCGGCGGAGAGCGATGGCGCCGGCTTTGAATCTTCCCGGCGGCGATGCAGAAAACGACGAACTCCGGCGGCTCCTGGTGGCTAATATGGACGATGCGGCGGCGCGGCGGCGCACACGCGAGGCCTTCAAGGATATCCAACTCAGCCTCGACCACATCCTCTTCAAGGTAGTTACGATCTCGTAGTGGCTTTAGATAGTTGTCTCATCTTTGGCTCGTCTTATGTCACGGATTTAAACGGGGTTGTCTAAGAGAAGAATGAATTAGGCAATAGAAAGAAAAGTCAAAACGATTTGGAGCCATTGGTGATGTATTGATTAGCTTTTGGTTCTGATGATGCAGACACCTTCTGATGGAATCAAGACAAAGGAGGTAACAGAGAATGATGATCTGTTTTCAGGAGAGTTCCTGAGACTGAGGATCCTGATCGGGTTTTCTGGCTTGTAGTCTTATGAGGTGAACTCTCGTGGAGTTGAGATCTTCTCGAAGAGCTGGCTTCCGGAAGATTCTTGTCCGAAAGCCGTTGTGTGTTTCTGCCATGGCTATGGAGATACTTGCACCTTCTTCTTTGAAGGCATGTGCCTCTTTGGCTTTGATTTAGCAGCGGTTGTAACAAGAGAGGGGTTGATCGTTTTGGTTCGTGTGGAAAACTTTTGCAGGGATTGCAAGGAAATTGGCCTTATCGGGATATGGAGTGTTTGCAATGGATTATCCGGGGTTCGGCCTTTCAGAAGGTTTGCATGGATACATCTCCAGCTTCGATCTGCTCGTTGAAGATGTCATCGAGCATTACTCCAACGTAAAAGGTAGTGTCATTATGAACCCTTTCGATTGAATTATCTGGCCGCTGATTCTGTCATATCTCATGAATCGGAATTCTATTGCTGCAGCAGCTTGCATCTCGAGGGTTCATATATGCAGCCTGACTCTTGTATTGATTTGTTTCTTTGTTAGGGAGCCCCGAGTTCAGTTCTCTCCCAAGCTTTCTGTTTGGGCAGTCAATGGGTGGAGCCGTCGCTCTCAAAATACATTTCAAACAACCAAACTCGTGGACTGGCTCGGTTTTAGTGGCACCTATGTGCAAAGTATAGTATATAAGGCTTTATCCTCCCTTCCCATCTGACAACGTCGGGAATTTTGTGGTTACAGTCATAACAGGAACTATATATGCATTTAGATTGCAGATGATATGGTTCCACCGAGGCTGCTAAAGCAGATCTTGATCGGTCTGGCCAATGTTTTGCCCAAGCGGAAGTTGGTTCCGCAAAAGGACTTGGCAGACGCAGCGTTTAGGGACATCGGAAAGAGGAAACTGGTACATCACCGTGTACTTTTTGAGAACTATGTTCCCTCTCATGCTCTCTAACGATGTGTACCCGTTGTACGTACAGGCGCCATACAATGTCATTTGTTACAAAGATAAGCCCCGCCTAAGGACAGCAGTGGAGTTGCTCCATACGACTCAAGAGATTGAACAGAAGTTGGAAAAGGTGAAATTTTTCTTACACATAAGCCATGTTTCAGTATAACTGCCAGTTCTGGTAATTATAACTGAACCCAAGAGTTAGCTCCTGAACCGGGGGGTCTGGAACTGATTAGGAACTGAAGGTGAGTGTGAGTCTAAGTGGCAAAAGTGGCTGTTTAACGGTTCTGGCTTGACCCTTTTCATATTTAAACTTAGACTATTAACAGATACATGGGTTTGAAGATTAGATTCGGTTCTTGTCGGTTTTGAAAGCTGGAGGGTAGGAACCAGAATTGAAACTGGCCATAACAGGACAGGAACCAGAATGCCGATTAGCATGAACTGGAAACTGGAGGGAGCTTAAGCCCGAGTTCGGAACGTTGTTTTTGTGCTTGAACTCATCAAGAAGGAGAAACCATAAGAGTTCCTTGCGTTATTTCAGGTGTCTCTGCCGATACTGATCCTTCATGGAGAGGCGGATGTGGTGACGGACCCGTCGGTGAGCAAAGCACTGTACGAGAAAGCAAGCAGCTCGGACAAGAAGATCATCCTTTACAAGGATGCTTTCCATTCCCTGCTGGAAGGCGAGCCCGATGACGTCATCATCCGTGTTCTGTCTGATATTATCTCGTGGCTCGATCAACACTCCTCCCCGTCTCCAGCCACCATCTCATGATTATACTATTTTTCTCCGTCTTCATTTCACTAACATTACATTACATTTTTGTGGTGGAATTCATTTGTTGTTATAATAAGAGATGGTGGTTTTTTATTCGAATGCTATGTTGATTTTCATCTTTTAAACTCTGCTTGATATATATATCTATATATCTATCTATATATAAAAAATGTATTTCCTTTGACAATATTCAAAATAAATGAGGAGAATTTGTGGAAATCGTAGCAGAATCAAGCATCGTAATTGGGTTTAAATGGGCCCTTGTTTGATCAGATCAAAACTCATAATAGTCTGACGATCAGATCCAGACCGTCGATTAAACCCTTCTCTATTAGCAATATTACAATTACACCTTGCCTCGCAGAAGAGAGTGAAAAAAAAACAAAGGACGGAACTTCGGGGTCTAGCGTTCTTCGTTGTTCATACGGATTTTGACCCAGTTTTCTCTAATCGGTAAGCTCAGACGGGTTTCTTTCCGTTTCATGAATGGTTCGTTGTCTACAGATTTCGGGTGACGGTTTGTTTCGGCTTGTGGGGAGATATGATTGATGTATTCTTAGAATCTGTTTGCTTAAATCAGAATCTCCGGAAGAAGATTGAGGAAGTCAGCAGCATGGAGAATGTAGAAACTCCGCAGAATGCCAACGAGCGTATGGATTTCTTTTAATTTTCATTTTCAGATTCAGTATTTTGCTGAGATTTCTTTTTTCTTTTAATCCGATTTCGATTAGGAAGGTTTTTCTTTGTCGTTTATATTGGTGTTTAGATTGCCCGGGTCCTCAATCCGAAACTGCCGGGAAGTCAGATGCTTGCCAAGGTTGTCCTAACCAGCAAGAATGTGCAACTGCACCCAAGGGCCCTGACCCAGGTTCATACCATTCCTTCTAACATGCCTACACCATATCTATGTATCTATGCATCTATGTCCTCGTATCTGCAAGTACATTGGTGTATAAAAACGTATCATGTTATAGTGAGCTGCAAGTGTTTGTTTGAGTTCTCTGCTTGTCCTCTGTCGCTAGTTGATTTCCATGATGAGATATGTATATGTGTATGACATTTTCTGTCTTCTTTAGATTTGGTTGCGATATCGGAAAGAATGGCTACTGTTAAGCACAAGATACTGGTTCTGTCAGGGAAAGGCGGGGTCGGTAAGAGCACGTTCTCGGCTCAGCTTTCCTTTGCCCTGGCGGGAATGGACTATCAGGTAGGCCTAATGGACATAGATATATGCGGGCCAAGCATCCCGAAAATGCTAGGTCTTGAAGGGCAAGAGATTCATCAGAGCAACCTCGGATGGTCTCCAGTCTATGTGGAGAGCAACCTCGGTGTCATGTCTATCGGTTTCATGCTTCCAAACCCGGATGAAGCAGTGATCTGGAGGGGTCCCCGGAAGAACGGTCTCATCAAACAGTTCTTGAAAGACGTATACTGGGGCGAGCTCGATTTTCTCATTGTAGATGCCCCACCAGGAACCTCAGACGAGCACATCTCCATTGTCCAGTTCCTTCTATCCACTGGCATCGACGGTGCAGTCATAGTCACAACCCCTCAGCAAGTCTCGTTGATCGATGTCAGGAAAGAAGTCAGCTTTTGCAAGAAAGTGGGCGTGGAAATACTCGGGGTCGTCGAGAATATGAGCGGTTTGACTCAGCCATTGATGGATTTCAAGTTCGTGAAGCTGAAGACCGAGACAGGGGAACCGACAGAGGTCACGCAGGAAGTCATATCGTGTATAAACGAGAAGGCCCCCGAGCTGCTGAAGGTGTTTGCGCAGAGTGAAGTGTTTGATAGCAGCAGAGGCGGCGCAGAGAGAATGTGTGGGGAAATGGGAGTTGAGTTTCTGGGGAAAGTGCCGTTGGATCCTCGGATTTGCAGAGCAGCCGAAGAAGGCAAGTCTTGTTTTGATGACGACAAGTGCCTGGTAAGCGGTCCTGCCTTGAAGAACATCATACAGAAACTTGTCAAGGGTCTGGAGTCAAGAACTCCATTGACTGAGTTTAAAAAAAAAACTGTTAAACTCGGATTCATGAATCTTTGAAGTCATGTTCTTTTTTTATTTTATTTTTTAAAGTTAATGATTCTTAAAGGGTTGGTTTATTTGGTTAATAGTCTAGCCGAATCAAATAGCATATAATCATACTTGATATAAAAATTTAATATTTATATGTTTTTATAATTGAATAAAATCATTTTTGAAGTAAACCGAATCAAATAAAAAATAGTGAAAAATCGATTTTTTATAAAATAAGTATTTTTGTCAATAAAAATAAAAATATAATTGAATTCGAAACGAAATAGAAATGAACGGAATCAAATTCAAATTCAATATAAAAACAGTGATTATAATTATTTTAAAACAAGAATAAATAAATCTAGATAAGTCATAAAAATTGTTTTGTTTGAATTTTAAATGTATGATTTTTTCCTTTTTTGTAAGACATTACTCGTTCCATTCAGTTATTAAGCTTTATTGGGCAAAGGTGGGCCCAATGGGCCGTAGTAGGGTGTAAACCCAATTTCAGTTTGGAGCCCAAATGGTCAGATCGATAGAAGCTTTGGATTCGGGTCGGGTTGGACTGGCCCGGCCAACGCATGACCCGTTTGACGGCCCTTAACAAAACCCTATTTTTCTATTATCTATAAATTTTGTGCTTCCTCTTGAATTTGAAGCAGCAGCCGCAACTTCTCTGTCTAGGGTTCTTCGTCGTCTTTGCGGATTTCGATCCTATTCCCGCTGCTCGGTACGCTTCAAAGTCCTTGATTCTGTTTTATCTATGGATTACGGGGAGGGTTTTGTCCTACTTCTACAGAGACTTTGACGTGTTTCTTTGTGTATGACAATGTGGAGGAACTTTGTGGGAAAACAGCTATGATACTTGGTTTGATTCATGGTTTGGGGGTTTAGGATAATGTAATTGGTTAGGCTTCTTTTACCCCATCAAACAATGGTTGGTTTCTGGTTAAGAAAGTCCACAACTTTTCTCGATATGGATAATGACTGTTTTTCTTGCATGTATTAATGAATGTCGTTGGAAAGGAAGCTAATTTTGGTGCTTTGGTGTCAAAATCACTGTTTTTGTTTTTTTTTTTGTCTAGTTTTTGAAACTTGTTACTTATTCTTGTTTAACTTGTAGCTTGTAGATCAGCAAATATGTTTTCTGCTCAGAACAAGATCCGCAAGGACAAGGATGTTGAACCTACTGAGTTCGAGGAGCAAGTTGCTCAGGTTCTCACTTAATGTTTTTCTGTTATCTTTTGCTCTTCTTGTCCTAAGTGTTAGAATTGTGGTTACTTATTGATGTCTGTTGGTGTCTTTCTCAGGCTTTGTTTGACCTTGAGAATACCAACCAGGAGTTGAAAAGTGACCTGAAAGATCTGTACATTAATCAAGCAGTGTATGTAGAATTATATGACTTGTCCCGTGGCTGTAGCTTAATCTCTGGTTTTCTCTTCCTTTACCCATGGGAAAATTGTCTTTCTCATTCTGCAGTCACATGGATATCTCTGGAAACCGCAAGGCTGTTGTGGTTTATGTTCCGTACAGATTGAGGAAGGCTTTCCGCAAGATTCATCTCCGTCTTGTTAGGGAGCTGGAGAAGAAGTTCAGTGGCAAGGTACTTTAGATTTCGTCTGCTGGTTTTGCTTGTGTATATCGGTGATGTAACTCATGAACTCCTTTAGAACCCTTTTTTAAATGCTTTCACATCGATGTAGCTTGCTTAAGCATTATCATGCTTGGACTAATTATGGGCTTAATGGTTTCGGGATAGTACTAATGTAATAACATCAAACAGGATGTTATCGTGGTTGCCACCAGAAGAATCTTGCGTCCTCCGAAGAAGGGCTCTGCTGTCCAAAGGCCACGGACCAGAACTCTCACTGCTGTCCACGAAGCGATGCTCGAGGATGTCGCCTACCCTGCTGAGATTGTCGGAAAGCGCATCAGGTTTCGTCTTGATGGCTCCAAGATCCAGAAGGTAAAGAGTTTTCTTCTGCATTCACGTTTCTTGATTTTCTGCAAGGCTTCAGCTCGTTTCTTACATTTTAAGACTGCTCAAAATGTAATACAGGTCTTTTTGGACGCCAAGGAGAGGAACAACACCGAGTACAAACTCGAGACAATGGCGGGTGTCTACCGTAAACTCACCGGGAAGGATGTCGTGTTCGAATACCCTGTCAATGAAGCCTGAGGAGATGAAATTTTGTTCTGCTTAAAATTTCTTTCTTTTTTTGGTGGGATAGAGAGCTGTTAGATGAAGAAGGGCACTTCCTGGAACATTCCTTGTTTTCAGTTTGGATTTTTTAAAGTTAATTTACAAAGACTACTTCAATCTCTAGACATTCTTTTCCTCATTATTGGTATCAGTCCATGTTGTGCTGTTAGCTTCTTCGTGTTCAACTTGGTCTGTTATTGAGAGAAGAAATCTTGCATTGTTCACAACAAAACTTCTTACAGTCGCTTATTTGCTTATAGGAAACAGAAGACAAGAATAACAAATGGGTGCTTAGATATAGTTATTTCCAACTATGAGTACAAAAACCTACTGTTGACTCCTGCTCTATACAGCTTCAGATCAGATGAACTTTCTAAGTGAATCTCAGTATCTGCAGGCGCAAACAGGACATCTCCGGCAACAATGTCGTCGGTTGAAGCTCCTGCAGACAATTTTCCTTCGCCCTGCACTACAAGCACAAGGGAAGGGCCTGAAACGCATGAAAACACGGTTGATTCTCCCTGGGGAAGATCACACAGATCAATCTCGAATTCATCAAACGGAGGGAGGTATCTAGTGATGTATGCACCAACATTCGATCCCTTTAAGATTTCTGGGAAGCCCTGAAACCCGAAAGCGTGAGCTTAGAACCAAGCTGTAAACTTTGAGCTAAGTATATTTGTTACACCCCCGAAAACACGTGAAAATGCTTACCTGCTTATACGTGAGCATGGAGCAAAGCGTTTGGATATCCCGGAGTTTGGAAGTGAGACCAGCTCGTACGACATTGTCCGAAGTTGCCATGATTTCAATGCTCTCACCCGATAAGTATGCATGGGGCTCGTTTGCCCCGAGGTACAAGGCTTCACCGGGATTAAGCTTGACATAGTTAAAGAAGAATGCAGATATGACCCCAATATCATCTGGATATTGCTTCTCTAATCTCAAAACTAGCCGTTCCTTATCTGTCAGTTGCCGTTCCTGTGATAATATGATATTATCTTTCACAACTTTTTTGGTATAATAGAGGCATTTATCTTATCCATAAATGTGAGCCATCACAGGACTGAGGTTTCTAGAACTTAAAAAGAATGCTGACCTTACTCTCCATACACAGACGTTGTTTCATTTTCGATATGATTTCCTTTGTCGAATCAGCACCTGCAGACATTAACAGGGTAAAGATTGTTTGAAGAACAGACTTCACTTCCTCCGTATGTTGTTCGCTGATGGATAGGACTTGGTTTGCTTCTTCAGTCCCGACCAGTTCTTCGATCTCTGGAACGTCACGAAGGACACCCTTAAGCTCCTGAAAAATTGATAAAGGTAGCATCCAGTAAACAACTACACATTAAAATCCTGGATATTAGCACTGAAATTATGTCCGTTCCTAAAATCAAATGGATATTAGCCGTGGGATCACTGTTTTACCTGAAGAGGTATAAATCCACATAGGGCCTCGAACTCGGTAATGGCCAATGCCATCTCGGGTTTGTGATTATCATCCTTATACAGATCCGGACGAGCTTTATGCAATTTCTTTGCCGATTCCTTATCCGGATGCGCCTGAATCGACAAGGGTTTTGCCACTGACAACACCTATCTCATTGCACAACATTAAATCCACTAATCACACGGTGGAACACATAAGAAACGTTGAAGAGAGTCCTTGGCATATTCAGGGACAGGAGACACAAAAGACAAAAATTTTGCAGAAACTCGTTCTATGGACCGTAAATTGCAGACATTTCGAGCATTAGGGAGGGAAGCCCGAATCAAAGCAAATGAAGCACATTAAATTGTACGTCTCCGTATGTATATACACACACGCGTGGAGAGTATATCTAAGCGTATAGGCATATACCTTGAACAAAAACGGGAGATCGCAACCCCATTTCTCCAAAACCCTATTTCCGAGAGATTTAGGGTTCTCAGATATCCACGATTTAAGGGTCATGCCATTTGACCCATCGGCCAAGTAACTCGGACCGGACCCGTGGGTCCCCATCCAGAGCTCGGCGTATGGCCGGGTCGAGTCGATCTGGGCACCTGAGTTCGTCGAGTGGAGCCTGGCGACGAGCGAGTCCGAACCCGTCCTTCCCCAATCGTAATCCTTCACGGAGCATCTCAACCGGCGAATTCGCCGGAGATCCACAGCACAACCGCCGTTGGCCTCAATAGAGTCAGTCTCCATCAAACAAAGCACACGTTACGATAAGGATTTCGGAGATAACCTCAGTAATCAGCAAGGGAAAACAAGAGACGAATTGAGGAAAGAACTGAAGTCATCGCCATGGGAGAAGAAAGTCGCAAGTTTTTCGTCGCGGCTTCGAGTTATATAACCGCGGGGTTGAATTTCAATAAATAAAAATAAGGGGTAGATAGTGAAAAGAGAAAGGAGATGTGGGGTAAGATGTTTAACGTAGTAAAGGGGAAAAGTGGGGAAATGACAGATACAAAGGAGAATCACGTGCTGAATCAAACGTCCAGGGTTAGTGGGCCGTCTGCTAGCTGTCCACGTGGCCTGTCACCCTAAGCCCATTAATCTTTTTTTTTAAATTTAAATTTAAAAAATTACCTGGGTGTGTAACTGAAACGAAATTACCGTTTGACTGGCGAGGACTTTTCACGTGGGCAAATATATTTGGATCAACTTAATCTTATTATTACTCAACCATATTGGTTAAATTAACCAAAGTGAAGCGCAAAACCCTAAACCTGCAGCCCTTATTCGCCGGGAAACTCAATCGGCGGCGTAAACCCATTTTCCGGTGACCGCAATTCTCTGAAGCGATCAAGTAGCCGGCCCAAGATAAACTCTCAATCTGATATCATCGTTGAATCCCTCTCAGTTCTTTCGGCAGAAGTCGTAGTAAATTTCCCAAATCGAACGGCAATGGCGGATTCGATTTTCAGGAAGCTAAGGGATGGCGGCGAAGAGGGCGAGCTCGCTCCAGCTCTCACCATCGAGGACACCGTAGCTTCGCCCTTCGGGCTCGACGTGTTCTCCCACTTGGTCGAATGTCTCTCCTCCGCGATTTTGGCGGGGAAATCCAATTCGCAGTACCTACTGGAACCCTAATTCTAAGCTTTTTGAGTTTGATTCTTGTTTAAAGATCGGTCTTTTGCTCGTGGGGTTCCTGTAAAGTTGTTCATTTTCTGATGTATTGACACATTTTTCGTTGCAGGGGTCTGGTGTTGATCACATTCTCGCGGAGCCCTAGTTTCTATCTGAAGTTGTTGAAGCGAAAAGGGATCGAAGTCTCTTCATCTTCTAAATGGTAAAAGCTGTTCTCGCAGCTTTTCTATACACTGTTATGTCCGTAGAGGAATTCGGTGCTTCAGTTACAGTTTGGTGAAATGAAATCTTGCTGTGGTTGATCTGGTGTGATTTTATGTTTGCAGGATTCATATTTTGGATTGTTATACTGATCCACTAGGCTGGAAGGATCAGCTACCGGCTATTCCTCGAGAAGGTTCAAGCTTCATCACGTTGTACAAACCTGTGAGTGATGTGAGAAGGCTTTTTTCTTCAATCGCTGAAGTTGGCAGAGGTAATTTTCTTCACGTTGCACAAAAAGAGCTGGATTTCCTTTAGAAGGCAATTCGAGATTAAGGTTGTTTCTTTTACTGCAGAGTTGGTTGGAGATGGAAAGACACGTTTCTGTGTTGCAATAGATTCGGTAAGGGAGCTTCTGAGATGTGGTTATTGGGCGTGATTTCTGAGTGGCATGGTGGACCTCTAGCCATTGGAGTTTCTCATGATATATCATTTTCATGGTCTTTTCCATGGTTAAAATTGAATGCTTTGTGATATTTCTTCTTAAATTTTGAAACCAGGTTAATGAGCTGTTAAGAAATTCATCCATGCCATCAGTTGCTGGTCTTTTAACAGATCTCCGGAGCCATGGTATATGTGTATTCTTTGCCTCCTGAGCCCGAATGTAGCTTTGTAAGTTTTATAAAATCTTTATTGGCCTTATAACTTAGGCTATATTTTGATGCAGCACAAGTTTCCAGTATCTTTTGGTCATTAAACACTGTCCTTCATGAAGCAAGAGCCACAAGTGCCCTTGAATATATATCAACCATGGTGGCCAATTTAGAACCATTATGTCCAACTTCGGATGGGCAGACAGGTAGTTTGAAAAATCTTGCGTTGCTTCATCAGGATTTTGGCAAAGGAAGGTTCCATATCCGGTTTAAGCTTAGAAAGGGACGTGTCAAGATCATGGTGCTCCCTCTCATCTGTTGCATCGGTTTCTTCTCTTTATTTCATGTGGCCTGAGGAACTATCCTAACAATCCTGTAAACTTTCTTACAGTCTGAAGAATTTTCAGTGGATCAGCTTGGGATAAAGTTTTCACCTATTTCTTCCAAGGATGTCATAACTGCAGCCACTAACAGCCTTTTGCCTAAGGCAAGTTATATTCTATTCTGGTATTTCTTCTGTTTTCCCAACGAAAAAAATCTGTCCTTATTGGTTCTTGGCGATGTAATTTCGTGATTTAAGTTTTATGGCCTAAGATTGATGTCTCCTCTTGGTTCAGGTCCAGTTTAACCTGCAGTTGTCTGAGAAAGAAAGAGCCGAGAAAGAAAAGGTTGTACTTCCTTTTGAGCACCAAGGTGAGCCTACCTCTGTTCTTCCCCTAACTTTGTCACGGATAAAGTCGATCTAAATCCAACTAAAACTCAGATATCTTTATTCGCAAACGGCCACAAAACAGTATCATATGAGACAACATTTGGTTAAACATTCCTATGTTTTTTTTTTCTTTTTCTGTTTTTCAGGTGATGGAAAACCGATACAGATTTATGATGGGCGGAGAACTCTTGAAGAAAGCAAGACCCAGCCAACATCAGAGTTGTCAGGAAAGTCCATGACAAGCGAGTTTTCGACTGGAAAAGGCGGAGAGATCATATATTTCAGAGATTCAGACGATGAGAATCCGGATTCTGATGAAGACCCAGATGATGATTTAGACATATAAAACCCAACATCACATCCAAATCCCAGTATGTTTTTCTCTTGGATGATTAGAACACCAATCTGATTTTCAAGCCAACGTTGTGAAGCATTAGGTATTTGATTGGTAGGGTTTTTGCCGTTATGATTTGTAATTTTGGTTGGTGGTTAGATTTATGCAACTTCCAATGTACAGAGGATCTATCTCTATGTAGTTTTATGTTCTGTACACTTCACTTGAAAGTGTTTTCTATTAGAGGTCCTGGCGATTTTGTCCGCAAGGAATCCAAGTTATTTTCTTACTGTCTTTTACACACACTTACATATATGTGTATATATATATATGTGTGTGTGTGTCTATATGTATTCATATTTCTTACCTTCGATGATCATTGCAATAATTTATTTCTTGTCATCATGCATTGTTCGACGTGGACTTGAGAGCATTTCGGTCTTCATGAAAACACAAGGGTACCTGTACAATGTATCAAATCTGTACGAAAGTTAGCAAAAAATCGTGTAAAATACAATCCATTATTCTACTTATGGTTACAAGTTTCTGAATTTCGATTGGTGCAATTACTTGTATTTTTAAAAATATTTGTCTTTATTCAGAATAGTTTAAACATGAAGGCATAATCCAAATCCATACATATATGGGCTATAGATTTAGTCCATGGATTTGATGAAGCGTGATTTTTGTGATCATATATATATATAATATATATACAGACACAGTTGTTCCACAGAATCTTCCTCTCACTCGGCAGTCTCTACAGCTGCCCCCGCAGGGCATAGCCTCTGTTTCGTCATCTCCCCATAAGTCTCTGTTCTTTCGCTTTTTCATGATTATCGCTTTTTCCCAGATAAAAAGTTGGGATCTTTTTCCCTTTCCATCAAAAAATGTCACAGAGATTCTGAAGTCAGAATATTGTTTCACCTACCCCCTCTCTCTCTCTCCTGTTCTTCTCCCTCGATAATGTTTTTGTGCCTCTCGTCCTCTTACGCAAAGTCTCTGGATTTTTTCTGTTTCTGAGTTGCTCTCTAGTCTTCAGCACTTTCCCATTTCTGGGTTCGATCGTTCGAAGGATTTCCAGTTCAACCCATGACGTTTCTTGGTAAAAAAAAAATTAGATTTTTGGGAGATTTTGGATTGCCCTATTCGTTTTAAAGTTTTTCGAATTTGAGGTTAGGGTTTAATTCTAGGTGTTAGATCGAGTTTCGCTGCCTTTTCCTTGGGGAATAGGGTTTATTTTCGGCTTGAGATTGTTGTGCCATTGCTTTTGTAGTAGTTGTGATGATTGGTATCCGAGAGAAACAGAGAGAAGGAATGGAGAAAACGGCGCCATGTATGGCGATCGCGGAGAAGAAGGGTCATGGAACAGGTGGTTGTATGAATGTCTTGTCCCAGTTCCTCGAATGGAACCGAAAATTCTCCAAGAAGCGTCTCTTCCCCAAGAAATTGCTTCTTCATGGTCAGTACACACTCGTCCTTGTACTTCTTCTATATATATACACATGCATATCGATTTCTGTCAATTGTGTGTTTTGATACTGATCCCAGCTGGAGAAGAACAAGCTTCAAAGAGGTTTGGGAAGAAGGAGAAGAGGCCAAAACCCGTGATTCATCTGGTTTGAGAATCTCTTCTTGAAGCTTTCTGGGTTATTTATCTTCTTCTGGACAGTGTTTTAGTACAGAAGCTGAGAATTTGATCCGTTTCTGGTTACTGTTTTAAATTGGTAGATTTCTGATGGGTACTACACCAGAGGCTCGAAGAAAAATGAAGATAACAACAGAAACGATGATGCCAATCATCACAACTTAGAGCTGCGGAATCTTACGAGGTCTCCCGGGTTGGTTGCCAGACTGATGGGTCTTGAATCTATGCCTTCATTTTCAGGACAAGACAGGAAGCTGGATGAACATGTTATTAGAGAATATAACCCACCTGAGGATCTTCGTTTTTCCGGTAGTGCGGAACCTGAGCCTGAGATGGTTTCAGATAGGCGGTCAGTGGTGAAGTTTGGGGCGGGTTTGCATCTTAAGGATGTATTATCACGACCAAGAAGACGTCAAAGCCATCACCCAAAGCTTCCTCCACAGTCAAAGAGGGGAAACACTTTCTGGAATCATAATTCATCAAGGACCTCCAGGTTGGTGGACGTAGCAACGAGGATTTTAGAGCCTGGATTGCAAGAAAAGAACAGAGCAAAATACACTCTTACGCAGTCAGATGCTCCACAGCTGCCTAGGAGTAGGCTTAAGGCTAATAAGACAGCGAGTGTGGCATCAGATTCAGTGAAAAGATCTTTCATGGGTGAACAGTGTATTGAATGTGCGGCTTCTGCATCAAATCTTGTGTCTGATCCTTTTCTTCACTCTCCAGAAAGGAATGAGGTGAAGCCCGTTTCGACGATTATCCAGAATGTAGAGAAAAACAAGGTACGGACTCGAGAACAAGTGTCAAATATTGACAAAATGCGCACCGTTGAAGGGACACTAGGTTGTAATAGTTCACAGAGTAAGAGAGTAGTTTCCCCGCCATATAGAGCCAATTCTTTTAGTACTATCGATGAGGCTAAAGATCCGATTGAGAAACGAATTTGCACGAGACAAGATGATTCTCCAGGGAAGACACAAAGGAAGGAAGGTAAAAAAATTCAATTTCTGAATGGTGGTTCTGCTGGTTCAGGACTGAAAAAGAATGGGAATGTAAAGAGAGTCATTGCCTGTGAAGAAGAAGAAGAAGAAGCAGCAGATAGAAAGCTTCCGCCCAGAAACCGCCAGCCTAGCCGGAGGAACAAGAATGAAGATGCTTCTAGTTCCGTTTCTGGAGGCAGAACCAAAGAAAAGAGTTATGTTTCGGGTGAGAAATGTGAGAAGTTGTACAGTGGGAAGCAAATGGCGTTGAGTGGGGATGCCTTAGGCGCTCTTCTTGATCGGACGTTGAAGGAGTTGACTAGTGAAGGCGAAGAAGAAACAAATGGAACAGGCAAATCGAGGAGATCTACAGCCGTGATTCTTCAAGATCTGATATCTGCCTTAACTACCGAACAGCTTATCACCAAGAAGGAATCTAAACCTGACACAGAATTTACCTTTCAGGTTTGTTTATGATTTCTCCTTTTCAGCCAAGCTTATGCAACCCATTTCATGCTGCTTTTATTAAAGTCATGATCTTTCAAAACCAGCATTTGATCCTTCAGCTTGTTTCTTAAAGTCGTTATCTGTGTTCTCAGACTCAAGCAGAGAATGAAGAGTCTTCTCTTGGGCTTGGTTCTTGCACTTGCTTTGAAGCAGATACGATGCAACCTGAAGCAGATGTTCAAGGTTCTGCAAACTCGATCAAGAAGTCCGATTTCTCTGATTATGGTGCAGTTATGGATCTTACAGAACGTGTTAGCCGCCTGTCGATGAAAATGAACGAGGCGGGTATCGGATTGAAAGGAGGCGAGCTTAGACATGCCCAAGATATTATCTTGAATACCGAGCTTCTGTTCTCAGACACAACAGGTTCTGTCCCTGGCTCTTCTCTGCTCGATCAGCTCGAGGATCTTGGCAGTAGAAACTGGAGACCTGCCCTTTGCCATCCCGGGTCCGAAGAGACCGAAGAAACTAACCAGTTCAACCGGGGGGCATTCGTGTTTGACAGTGTGATCGAATTCTTGGAATCTAGATACAGCATGTGTGGTGATTCCGGGGCTAGACCATGCAAGAACTTGCCGTCACATGTCAATGTAGAATCTCTGTTCCGAGAACAGAGTGGAAGGTGGATGAAACTAGCTGGAAAGCCGGCTGATGCTATAATCGAGTGGGAAATGGCGAACTGCTCGCTTGGAAAGTGGAGGGATTTCGAAGCAGAAGTGTCTGAAACAGGAGATGAAACCAGTTCTGACATACTCGAGGGTTTGCTCGGGGAACTTGCCACCGATCTTGGTGAGTTATAGCTTTTTCTTACAGCAAACATTAGGTTAGAATTCTAAGGTCTTGCTTTTGGTGCAACATGTGCAGTTAACCCAATGGAAATGTGTAATGTTGAATATCTTCCAAGTTCTAACCAAAAAGGGGGAAGGAGAAGAAAATAAGTGGGCTTTGGTGGGCTCATGGGTCTTTCAACGTTAGCCCGTAAAAATTTGTTTTTCCATCAAATGCAATTCTGATTTCATAAATTCATTGTAAGAACATGATTTGAAATCTTGATTCTTGACAATTGAATTGTGGATTTTCTTCCAAAAAATAGACTTACATGGTTTTAAATTTCAATGAATAAAAAGTGTGAGGCTAGTTGTAGAAAAAAACATAGGCGTAACAAATAAAATATGGAATGCCACCTTATAAAAGTTAATGTAAATGCTAATTTAAATACATCATATTTATCTAAAGGAACGAATTTTGGTGACCGTTAGATTAGATTTTCGTGTGACGCGTAGCGTATAACGCCAGCCCCCTCCCTCCACGTGCTGCCACGTCATCCCGAATCTAATCCAGAAAATATCCAATCGCAATCTGACCATTCTCTCTCTTTTTTCATTTTCTCAAAAGTCTCCTCCTTTTTTCAAGATATTTATACTTTCGCCCCTAAATTTTCCCACAACAAAGCTCCTCGAATTCCGACCAAGAAAAAGACTAGATTTTTGAATGCGACGTGATATTATTGTATTTGAATGATGAGATGAGATCACATGTGACGAGAAAATTATCCGGATATCATGTATAATAATTTACATGTATAAATAAGATAAAAAAAACATCATTGATATTATTAGATATATATCTAATAGATATTTTTAATCGTTCGCATACTAGTGAAAGATACGAAGTTTTAGTAAAACCAATGAATGAAAACGATTAACATAATTATTATATAATCAAGAACAAGACCACTTTTACCAAGAAAACCAAATCGAAAGCATCGTTTATAACTTTAACTTGTTTAGATACATGCAGCTCCCCTTTAGTACAAGATGCTTGTCGGATTTGGATATAGATAAAACTTTTTTAACCAAAAAAAAAAAAAAAGCTGGGAATCTTCTGAACAAATTTCCAATCCATCTGGGATAATAATTATATAGCGATCATGAAAAAAATATCCGATTTTGGAAATCTATGTTTTAAATCGTCCACCGCAAAACAACCATTTATCACGAATTAGGGAGAACAAAAAAAAGGTTCCATCATCCATCTCTGCGTGACACTCTGGGAAGCTTTCAGTAAGCACGATCCCCTCTCTCTCTCTCTCTCTCTCTCTCTCTCTCTCTCTCTCTCTGCGGAGTTGCCAAAGTTTATCTGATGCTGTCGAAGTGTGATTCGAACTTGTGCATCGTTCGTTGGTTCGTTTAATCCCGATTTCTTGTTTGAGATTCCTCGATCTTCATCCATCGCGATTCAAGAGGCGTTTCTCTCGTGTTCGTCATTGTTTCTCTGACAAACCCATCTGCAAAAGTTTCGAAATTTCGATTCAATTTCGTCACTGCTTTGCGTAACAGTGCGGTTCCTCATGCCGATCTTTCTGTACTTTTGTCTTGACTTTTCTCTTTTTTCTGTGGCCGAATACGTTATTTGGTAAATTCAGGGGGAAGAATAATAATGCAGGCGTCAACGTATGCGATCAAAGGAAACTCCGCGTTTGCGTTTCAGAAGCGGAGCGCTTCTAATCTCGGGAACGGACCTCTCCGTTTGCGGTGTAACGGCCTTCCCGCCGCCGGCAAATCCGATTGCTTTAGATCACTGCGTTCTTCTGGTTCGGCGACCATGGGAGCTGAACTGGCGCGTGCGAGAAACGGGATCCAGACAGTGATGAAGTTCTCCTCGGTTAAAGCTCGATCTGTCAGAGCTCAAGCCTCTGGTTCGTGTCGTCGATCGATGTTCTGCCCCTTTTTTCGGTTGATTGTGTTCCGTTTATGCACTGTTCCCTTAGTTCATCGGTTCTTGCAAGCTCTAGTTTTGGTAGATTGGTAAATCGAGTTTTTTTCTTTGGCAAATGCTAGATTGAGGTTGCACATCGATCCGTCAGCAAATCCGATTCAAGGGTTTTCATTTGTAGAATCTGACATTGAACCTTCAATGCATCTTGACTTAGCTTAAGAAAATAGAATCAAGTAGATTTCAGGGGTCTTTTTTCACATTTTCATGTGCTTTGAGTTTAATTGTAGGTGGAGATATTGAGGATGCAGCTCCTCTGAATCCTCAGGGGAAAAGCTCGGGGACCGTATTGCCATTCGTCGGTGTTGCTTGTCTAGGAGCCATATTGTTCGGTTACCACCTCGGGTATGGCTTGGATTGATTCAGTTCTTATTGGGTGCGGTTCTTTGAAATCTGATGTTGTTCTATTTAATTGCATCAGGGTTGTTAATGGTGCCCTTGAGTACCTTGCTAAGGATCTTGGTATTGCCGATAATACTGTTTTACAAGGCAAGTAAATGTTCAGTTTCTTCTTCTTCTCTTGTGTTTTTTTTCTTCGGTATCTTATCCTCTTCCATGAGATTTTCCCGCTGTTTGGTAGCTTGTCACTTTGTGTTGTAATCGTAAATTTCTGCGAGTCTGTCTGAGCAGGATGGATCGTTAGCTCACTGCTGGCTGGTGCGACGGTTGGTTCGTTTACGGGAGGTTCATTGGCTGACAAGTTCGGAAGAACACGTACATTCCAATTGGATGCCATCCCACTTGCAGTTGGAGCTTTCTTATGGTAATTCTTTCTCTTGTGCTCTTCCAAGCACCCGAATTTACAAGTTCAGTGATTGCTAATGCATCGTTTGGTCATTGTTTTTTATAGTGCGACGGCTAAGAGTGTGCAGACTATGATCATCGGGCGTCTACTTGCTGGCATTGGAATCGGGATCTCATCAGCAATTGTGCCACTTTACATATCCGAGGTTGTTTTCCGACCATTTTTTTTTATTGCTAGAACTGAAAAATTCTTGATCTTTTGTATTCGTAATTGCTGACTCAAAGTGAGATGATGGTTCAGATATCACCAACTGAAATCCGGGGTGCCCTTGGATCTGTAAACCAACTGTTCATATGCATCGGAATTCTTGCTGCCCTCATAGCTGGACTTCCCCTCGCCGGAAACCCTCTATGGTATATATATATATATGTTAATTCGATGGTACCAGAGATTAATGGACTCATTGCCTATCTTTGAACAGTCTCTGTCTCTGTCTTAAATCATATTTTATCCTCTTGATTTTGTAAGGTGGAGGACAATGTTTGGTATTGCCGTTGTCCCATCTGTTCTGTTGGCTTTAGGAATGGCGTTTTCTCCTGAAAGCCCACGGTGGCTGGCTCAGGTACTTCGAGGGGACTCTATTTCCTAACCAGCTCGAAAGCTTCGTCCTTTCTTCGAAAACTTGATTTTGTCAAATGTTCAAATCCCCACTTGTAGCAAGGAAAGATTTCCGAAGCCGAAAAAGCAGTCAAAACACTGTATGGTAAAGAGAGAGTTGTTGAAGTCGTGCGTGATTTATCAGCCTCTGGTCAAGGTTCCTCGGAGCCGGAGGCTGGATGGTTTGATCTTTTCAGCAGCCGTTACTGGAAAGGTAATCCCGAGACATGATCTGTAATCTGTTCAGACAAATTACGAGGGCATTGATTCGATTGGTGTCTTTACCTTGTTGCCTGTCTTCGTATCTATCCGTAGTTGTTAGCGTCGGAGCAGCTCTCTTCTTGTTTCAACAAATGGCCGGGATAAATGCCGTTGTGTATTACTCTACATCAGTGTTCCGAAGTGCCGGGATTCAATCTGATGTTGCGGCTAGTGCTCTTGTCGGGGCATCGAATGTCTTCGGTATGTTTCTCGTGTGCTAAATTCTGCGAAAATATACATTTCCCGCAGAGTTTGTGACCGAGAATCCGATTATAAAAAAAAAAAACTTGCAGGAACTGCTGTTGCATCCTCTTTGATGGACAAGATGGGAAGGAAAAGTCTTCTACTCACTAGCTTCACTGGAATGGTACGTTCTATCTCTAAACTCGATTCTCTCTTTTAACACGGTGTAGTATTCAATTGAATCAATTCTTGTCGGCTAATAACGACTCTCTTTGTCGGGGGGGAAAGGCGATGTCGATGCTGTTGCTTTCGTTATCCTTTACCTGGAAGGCACTTGCTGCGTATTCCGGCACTCTTGCCGTTGTTGGAACTGTTCTGTAAGTTATAAACTGTTTTTTCAGTGAAACACATGAAGATGCAACTCTCGTTCCTTAGTGCATTGTATCGGCCTTTTCTGATCTCTCTCGTTGCAGATACGTACTGTCGTTTTCGCTCGGGGCTGGACCCGTGCCAGCGCTTCTTCTCCCGGAGATATTCGCTTCCCGAATCAGAGCAAAGGCCGTTGCTTTATCTCTGGGCATGCACTGGGTAAGTTCTATGGGGGGTTTCCCTCTTCTTTCACAACGGCTCGCTGCTAAAACTGTTCATTCTTTCTTCCTCTGCAACAGATCTCGAACTTCGTGATCGGGCTATACTTTTTGAGCGTGGTAAATAAGTTCGGGATCAGCAGTGTGTACATGGGATTTGCCGGAGTCTGCCTCCTCGCCGTCTTGTACATAACCGGGAACGTCGTGGAAACAAAGGGACGATCGCTCGAGGAAATAGAGATGGCTCTCACCACTGGTGCTTGATTAGGTGTCGAGTGAATTCATCAAGGCTTTGTGTTAGATTCTCGTGCGTAAACTGCATCCTCTCTTTTTCTGGTAGCTTTGTACAAATAAAGTCTTGTCTCTGTTTCGTCTGGGTATCTCCGAAGATCCGTCAATTGATTTCCTTTGATATTTTTCCATTCTGTTGATGCAAGTTCTGGAATTTATGGATGAAACGGAGAATATGACGTTTGTGGTAACTGTCCGCTTTACAAAAGCAAAATCATTTCGACGAAATTATCAATCTTTTTACAAGAAATATTGCGGTTCGCTCTTCTTCTCATTCTCTGATTCTCGTTCTCTCTCATTACAGTTGGCCAGCGTAAACGACCGGCACATCATCTCCGGTTTCTCCGCCACGTGTTCTGTGAATCTCGCCGGAGAAAATGGCGGGGGAGCAGAGTTATCTGATGCTGTTCGTCGACGAGACCTCTCTCTACAACAGGATCGTTCTGGGTCACCTTCTCCCGGCGAATCTGTGGGACCCATTACCGCATTTCCTCCAGACATGGCTCCGGAACTACCTTGCCGGAACCCTACTGTACTTCATCTCCGGTTTCCTCTGGTGTTTCTACATCTACTACCTCAAACGCAATGTTTACGTCCCCAAAGGTGACGCCTTTCTGATTCCTTCGATGGTTTTGTCTTGTGGGTTCTCGTCGATTTTCGATTCCAGGAACTCGGTATCATCTTTACTCCATGAAATCGGTTTAGCGAGAACGCAATTTTGAGGTTAACTCGGAATGGGTTTTTTTGGGGAGGGTGGAAAGGATAAAGTCTGGTGCTCTTTCTTCTTGACGGATGGATGGTCGATGTCTGAGTGATTGATCTCCTGTTCTTATGTGGAATCATTGTTCTCAATCATGAAAACGAGCTCACTTGGTGATTCTTTTGTCAGATCTGGCTTTTCTGATCTCTCGATTGGATTTGAGATCGGGCTAACAATGAGAATGCTCAGATTTCAAAGTTGAATTCCAAACTGTATGTAGTTCATGTAGTAGCTTTATGTAAGTTGGTAATTACACTCTCCTCTCTTATCTTCAGATGCCATTCCTACAAGAAAGGCCATGCTTTTGCAGATATATGTGGCAATGAAGGCTATGCCGTGGTACACTCTTCTTCCAACAGTTTCAGAGAATATGATTGAAAATGGTTGGACCAGGTGCTTCTCTAAGCTTGATGATTATGGCTGGACCCTTTATTTCCTTTACCTCTCCATCTATCTTGTTCTTGTGGAGTTGGGCATATACTGGATGCACCGGGAGCTTCATGACATTAAGCCTTTGTATAAATATCTCCATGCGACCCATCACATCTACAACAAGCAGAATACTCTTTCTCCTTTTGCAGGTAAAGTCTTTCTCTTCTGCCTTCAGCAGCTCCATATATCACACATTTTGTGCTGTGATGGATACAAAAGGAAATGGGCTCTTTAGAAAAGTAATGCCCGGTAATTTCTTTTCAATGGCAACGCCCGTATGGCGATTAGGGCAGTGAGCTTTCCGGCAGATATGGGATTCCACAGTCTCTTCCTGTAACTTTCTCATGTTTGTACAGGACTGGCTTTTCACCCACTGGACGGGATACTTCAGGCAGTTCCACACGTGGTAGCGCTCTTTATCGTCCCGATCCATTTCACGACCCATCTGGCCCTCTTGTTCATGGAGGCGATATGGACGGCCAACATTCACGACTGCATCCACGGCAACATCTGGCCTATCATGGGAGCTGGATACCACACCATACACCACACCACTTACAAGCATAACTATGGCCACTACACCATTTGGATGGATTGGATGTTTGGTTCCCTTAAAGACCCTCTTGAAGAAGATGATGTCCCCAAGAAAGCAAAGTGAGATGCCCGTTTGGGATTCGTTCTTGCGCTGAGATCATTCTTGTTCTCGTGTTCTCTTCTATCTGGCAACATTTTAGCTGAGACATGTTTAATATGCACATTTTGTCTAGTTTTCATTAGTTCGATCTTTTTATGGGCTTAGAGTTATGGGTTTTTGAGAATTGTGACAAATACAAACTGTGATGAGATATGAATGTCATCAAGATTCGATCTTGGAGTCACTGCCGTGGAACAATGTTTAAAAGGTCTGAGCTTTGGTTTCTGTCTCTCGATATAAGTAAAGAAATTGAATTTCTGATTTGGACATTGTTCGGAATGTTGTCTCTTTAAGTGATGGGAGACCGTTACCTTATCCCAACTCTTTATTCTGACGCCTTGGATAAGTAGATAAATTGTAGGGAGCGGACGGAAGTTGCAGGCTTTCTCACCAATTACGACTCATGCTTGCATCGCTCTTCTTCTCGCTCCGAACTCCGTCTCTGATTATCGTCTCCTGCTCCGCAAACCCTAATCAAAAGCCTCCAAATGCGACAAATCATCATCAAGTCGAGCAAATCAGGAACAACCCAGGATTCCCCGTGTCCAAAGAACCCACCAGAAACCCTGATGCTGTGATCAAGGTCCCGACGGCTCCATGGATGAAGGGTCCTCTATTGGTCCGACCCGATGAAGTTCTCGACCTTTCAAAACCCATGAAGAGGCGCAGCAGCGGACGTAAGGTTGAGGAGAAGACGTTCAAGGCGTTGAATCGCAGAGAGAGCGGGATCAGGGGGAGGAAAGCGATGAAGAAAATCGTCCGGAACGTCGAGAAGCTCGAAGAGAATAGCGATTCGGACGAAGGCCATATGGAGAGTCGGGACGATTTCGTGTTCGATGAGTATTTGGACCATATACCGGAGAATCCGGCGGAATTCGAGGCCGGTAAGAGATTTGGCGGGAAAATGCCATGGTACAGAGAAGAAGAGAGGTTCATACTGCGGAGGACGAAGAAGGAGAAGGCTCCGACGGCGGCTGAGCTCAGCCTTGACGAAGATTTGCTGAAGAGACTGAGGCGTGAAGCTATGAGGATGAAAAAATGGGTGAAGGTGAAGAAAGCGGGTGTTACAGAGGATGTGGTGAATGATATTAGGTTGATTTGGAGAAGAAACGAGTTGGCGATGGTGAAATTTGACGTCCCTCTGTGTCGGAATATGGAGCGAGCTCAAGAGATCATCGAGGTTTGGTTAGTTCACTCCATATCTTCTCTTTCTGGATAATCTTGTCTTAGAGATTATTGAGCTTTATGTTCTTGTGTTAGAGATATAATCTTTCATGTTATATGCACTTCTCTCTGAATGCCCTCTTTCTCTTTTCAAGAATAGATGAAGACTGGAGGCTTGGTTGTCCTGAGCAAGAAGGATTTTCTTGTAGTTTACAGAGGATCCAATTATCTTTCCCCATCAAAATATACATCAGAGACGAGGAATTCGACTTGGGTTAGGGGACAAGACTACAAATCAAGCACGACAGAAGCTAATACTGGTGAATCCATTGGCGTTTTCAGAAAAGAAAATGAGACCATTGAGCTGGTTAACACATCATTGTACGAGAGAGAAGCTGATAGGTTGTTGGATGGCTTAGGGCCTCGGTACATTGACTGGTGGATGAGAAGACCATTTCCAGTTGACGCAGACTTGCTTCCCGAAGTGGTTCCTGGGTACAGACCTCCGTTTAGACGTTGTCCGCCAAATACTAAGGCTAAGCTGACAGATGAGGAGCTTACTTACTTGAGAAAGCTGGCTCAGTCTTTGCCATTTCATTTTGTCCTCGGTATCGTTTTCACTATCCTTGGTTTATCTTCCTTGCTCTGTGCGTAGTTTATTGTGTGCTCTGTTAAGAATTCATGGACGATGAGGAAACGTTGCTGAAACTAGTTGTATTTTTCCCACAAAGAGATCAGTTATTTGGAAGGAATCTGGGAAGAGATGCATGATTCTGTAGTTGCAATATAACGATCTTTTCCCATTATTGCCATCTGTGTCCTTAGTCACTCCTCGTCCTGCTTTCTTTGATATTAATTAAGTTCAGTCTTTGTATTTGGATGTGGTCTTTTCCTCGAGCTCTTAGATTTCCTTTCTTTGTTTTCTAAAGGAAGGAACCGAGGGCTTCAAGGTCTAGCTGCTGCAATCTCGAAGTTATGGGAGAAATGTATCATATCGAAGATTGCCATCAAATGGGGTGCTCTGAATACAAACAATGAGCAAATGGCAGATGAACTGAAGGCAAAAACAGAAATTAGTTTCTTTTTTGGTTTGTTCTTGTTTCTCCCATAAATTTATGGACTTTTAATATTCTTTGGTTGCACCCTCTATAATTTTCAGGATCTCACGGGAGGTGTTTTGATTCTACGCAATAAATACTTGATAATACTTTTCAGAGGCAAGGATTTCCTTCCCGATGAAGTTGCAGATTTGGTAGATGACAGAGAAAGAATCCTCCGAAGATATCAACACTTTGAGGAAACTGAACGGGTAAAAGATATCGAGACTTTTGAGATAGCCATTGATGGGCAAATTGAGGAAACCAGCAAAGCTGGAACCTTGATAGAGTTTCAAGAACTTCAGAGAAAATATGGGGAAATGGAAAAGAAAAATATGGAGATGGAAGCTGAGAGAGCAAAACTGGAGAGGGAACTTAGAGAGCAAGAACACAAGCTTTCGATGGTAAACTTCATAATAGCATCTTTCTTTCAAAATTTACTTTATGGATGTGATATACTTCCATGGATTGTTTCTTTCTTTCTTTGCAGCTAAAATCAAAGATAGAGAAATCGGCAGCGGAGTTGATTAAGTTGAATTCTATGTGGAAACCGTCTGAGGAAGACGAGGACATTGAGATACTGACAAATGAGGAAAGGGAATGCTTGAGGAGAATAGCACTGAAAATGAGTGGCAGCTTGGTTCTTGGTTAGAGCCTCTTCATTCTCTTTTGTTCAGATGTTCTTTCTGTATTTCTCGATTTGCAAACAGTTAAAAAATTTGTTGTCGGGCATGGAAATCAGGTAGAAGAGGGATCTTTGATGGGGTCATAGAAGGGATACATCAGCACTGGAAACACAGGGAAGTAGCAAAGGTGCTCACAATGCAGAAGATTTACTCGAGAGTTCTTTATACAGCAAAATCACTTGAAGCAGAGAGCGGAGGGGTACTCGTTTCAGTGGAGAAACTTAAAGAAGGTTACGCCATTATCGTTTACAGAGGCAAGAATTACAGACGTCCTCCAAAACCAATGTCCCTTAACCTTCTCACGAAAAGAAAAGCTTTGCAAAGGTCTCTTGAGATGCAGCGTCTCGGTGTAAGTGGATCTTTGCTCATTTTCAGATCTCTGTAAATGCTAAACACCCTTTTCTGTATTATTTTGCTAATCTGTTGATTGGTTTTCACAGTCGTTGAGATTTTTCGCATACCAGAGAGATCGAGCAATAGTGGATTTGAAGCTCAAATTGGTAAGACTTCAACACCTTAACTGGTGCGCCAAGGCTCCCCTTTGCGTGTTACTTATATATGTGCGGAAATGATTTTGTCAATAAAACATGTTGCAGGATGAACTGAACAAAAGGACGTGACTTGAAAGGTTCAAGATAAAACCAAACGGTGGACATTCCTGAAGTCTGTGCAGTTCATCAGATGAACAAAGACTGGATCGAAGAAAGAAAGCATCACCGGATTATAAATCCGACAAGACCCAGAAAACAGACAGACCAGGAAAATCTTCGTGGAGCCAAATGGGCCGATGCCATAATGATAATCAGGTTGGTTGCTGCATTATTGGTATGGTACCTTGTCGGATTTGCAAATCTTTTTTTTTTTTAATGTTTATCGTGTGATCTGCCGTGCTCTAATTTTAGTACGGATTTGGACAGGGATGAAGAACATGCCCTCCTGGCAAAAGATAAGCTCAAGATTTCTGGAGTTTAGATGAAGAGGGGAAAAAGAAGAAGAAGAGATGATTTCTTTCTTCTTTTTCCAGAGTTAAAGTACTCGAGTTGTCCAGAGACCTGACACAAAACAAATCCAATATATATACGTAATTTATTTATGATTGAAATGGTGCGGTGCGTACACCAAGGTTCTTATGTTTTTTTTTATAGGCTCATATGGAAAGATAGGTGGGATGGGTGGAGAGATAAAGACATACATATGTATGTGTGTGTATATATATCTCATCAGGAAAGCACTAAGAGTGGGGATGAGGGCGGCCGCAGGAGGCAGCGACGGCCATAGCAACGGGAGAGCCGATGAACTGACGGAGGTTGGGATCATTGATGAAACCACACATGCAGGGCCGCTGCTCCCTCAGCTTACGGCAACACATCACCGGAGGCACCGTGGCCTCTCCGGCCGCAGCTAGAGTCATGGCCTCCACGCATGGGCTCAGCTCCATCGGGTTACAGTTGACTGCTCTCACTCTCGCCGGATATTCCGTCGTTGCCAGCGTCAGTACCACGATGGCTATCATCGGCCGACAACAAAATTTGGTCTTCTTCTCCATTGTCTTTCTAGCTATCTTTGTGTGCGTATGCGTGGGGTTAAAATCTCGTCTTCATGGAAATTACAGTCAGCCAACGTTGGTGAGATTTCCTCGTTATTTAAAGTGGGAATGGTGGAAGGAAAGTTATGGTCAGTTCATATTTGACAAAGTGGGGTCCACCTGTGTGGAAAATCAAACCCACATAATGGGATCGTCGCATTCCATTATATGGTTTTGAAAAAAATAAAAATAAAAATAAAACAAAATCCTCATAACTCATTTATCTTCCCAGTTGAGGAAATACCCTCTCGAGCAAACCAAAACAAAAAACAAAAAAAGAAAGGAAACGAGATATATAATTCAGAACATTTGTAAAATATATGAACATGAAAAAGAAAAATATATAATAAGTGGGGGCTAATGGATGGCAATGATATTCACCTGTATCATGTTGAGGAGTACAGTCATGGTAAGGGGTTGGTTATTGGCCTTTGCCACGGAGCATATCCGTGAAGTTACCCCTCATGATACGCCTGAACCTGGTGTCTTCAGCCTGAGGTGCCGCCTTCGGTGACTCAGGCCCCTGCCCCGATGGTGCAGCCGCCGATTCAGAGGTGTCTCGCTTGCCCAACAAGCCGCTGCCTTCTCCGAAGAAACTGGTGACGGACGATGCAATCCCGAGATGAGCTCCCACCATCACTTTTCCTATCGCCTCCAGAGTCCCACCCGATCTCTCTTTCATTATTATCTCTATGGCTTCCTTGTGCGCTGGATCCAACGCATCTGGATCCTTCAACAGGTTTTGTATTGCTGGTAGCAGGTACTCTCTCACACTTGCCCCAGACATGTCTTCACAGTTCAGTTCAGTTCGGACATTTCAACACAGTTATCTTATCAACTCACAACCTATTAGGAAACTGTGCAGCAAAGCAAGAAGTTTGGTACCAACCTGTTGCGTCAAGAGCACGTATTGCCTCACAGAAAGCATTAGCTCTCTCTCGTCGGCGCATCACATCCGTCGTAGAGCTGGGGCTCGCTGAAAGCTGGAAAATCTTTGACAACAGATGTATCACCAAGTTAAGGAAACAAAAAAAGGAATAAATTTGTAAAAAGGCATAATGAATTAACTGAGTTTCAAGAGATCAGTTTAATAAGGATATATTCTCTAAGCTGCTCTGTTGTGTGTGGAATGGCAACCAATAGTGCACGGACCACAGCTATAGTTGCCTCATGGGAACCATCTTCAAGAAAAGCATCCATCTGGACTCGTATTTTATCAACTATCTGCACCATTTCCCATATGATCCGCTTAAAAGTTGAGGGGGATGATCTGTATACTCTCCCTCAGGAATTTTGGGACTAGATTTGGGCAAATATCTGCGTCCTTAAGAGAACAGTAAACAAAAGGTACCATGTCAACTTTGAAGTGTTGAGCAACAGCTCCAAACGCGTCGATGCTTGCGTACTTCACATTTAGGTTCTGATCCGAGCCAAGAGTTACCAAGGCAGGTAGAACATGGGTAGTAGCAACTTTCTCATCAATATATGGCACCTATTTGAACAAATTAATCAAAAGCACGTGTAAGAAATATTTACCCGAAAATTCAATTCATATACCCATAGGAAAAATGAAGATGCGTGTCATGGAGAAGCTTACAATGGTCTTCAACAGCTTAGCGGCATTTATTTTGAGTTCTGCATTAGAGCTCACCACAATTTCCCATAAAATGTTGAATATCATGCTGTGATGTTCTTCAAAAGTACTGTGAGATCGACAGGTTCACCGATGAGAAGAACAAACTATACAAAACGTGCTGTAAAATAGAAATTTATGGGACACTGACCAAAGGTAGCGGACTGCGTCCAAAATCTCACTGCTATGAGCTGATGACTGGTCTTCTTTTATTTTGTCTTCAACCAATATTTTTCGTAAGAAATTTGCTAACTCTTCTCGCTTGCTAGGTGCACCAAGAACTCCGGCTAAAAGAAGTGGTAGGACACATAGAGTGGCAAGTCTATCGGCCACAGCAGTTCTTGGTCTCAAACCTGGAAAAAGAAACAATCTATCAGATTCTGTTTGAAGAATTCCCTTATCAATACCTTGCAATAAGACACCTTTTATCCTTGGATGGATTGCAGAAGGCAAAAACCGAATATCAGCTTCTTCTCCAACAGCCATCAAGAAAACTGGGATCTCGATGTGGGTCAGATAGGACTCTCCAAACCGTACAGATACAGCCAAGAGAAACTGCAAGATCGGTGTGGAGACAGTGAAAACTCTTTGAAAGTAAATATTAAGTCAAAGCGAGATATAAGACCAATGCAATCCAGACCTTTGTGATCCGATTTCTCAAATGATCTTCTTTCTGGGGCAACATGCATGCCAGCTGTAACAAGTTAGCAAAGCAACCTACGTGCATCCATTCAAACATAGGCCACTCAGAATGTCCCCTGCTAAGAAATTCTAGTCAAGCAAGGAAAGCAGTAGGCTTGCCCACGACTTCAAACAGCTAATTTTCTTTTACACCAGGTAATGTATTTTCCAAAACACAAAATAATCAAGGGAAATAACCGGTAAAAGTGAGGCTTACTCAGCATATCTCTCAAGCAAGGAAACAGAGAAGGCTGTGTCCTCAGACTTTATGATAGAAGTTAAAGGGCATGTTTCAATCGCTTTCTGATGTACAACTGGAAGCAACTCCATAAGCATTCTTAGCAGGACATCAATATTCCACCGCTCCCGCTCACCAAGGACTCGTAGATGGGATTCCACTGACCCTTCAACTCCAGAAAGTGGGGGACAGTGCTGAAAAGCAAGCAAGAGTTACATGAAATTGCTATCCCAAACATTCATCCAAACACAAGATTGAAATGGAAAAGAAATCATATACCTGAGCAGAGCTCACAGCGTGAGATAGGAGAATCCTCAAGATATGATCAAGTTTGTTACCCCACTTTATCACTGCAGGGAGTAGTTCTTTCAGTGTGGTTTCAACCACTAGGCCAGATGGATCGCAGATCAATTGAAACATCATCTCCTCAACCTAATCAACAAGCAGAAAGTGGTGTTGCAGCATTAATCTGACTCATTTATATCCATCCAATCCCTACCTATCATCTCAAGTCAAGATAAAAAAAAGTCTCGTTCACCTAGACAAAAAGTTATCAGCCTTTATTCTAGTTCTAGAGCATGCATTGCTGCCGACTCTGTCATGTCAATCAAGAAAGCTCCATGACTACCTCAGAGGAACTTAGGGAGGCTGACCTTAAAATACTTGTCAGCGTTTGGAAACAAAGGAAGCAGCAACGCCAGATTACGAGCGGCAGCCTCGCGGACAACAGTTGCAGAATCTTCTACCAGTTGTTGCACAATAGATAAAATAAGAGAGTCGCGTATCTCCGGCCGAACATACTCTGCAAGCTCCCCACACGACTGAGCAACTAACAACCTACGCTCTTCATATGAATGATTTATCTGAAATAAACACGACCAGAACATATGACTCTGTATTGAAACGAATTACTCAACGCATTTAAAATAAAAATAAAAAGAGAAAGCACACTTGAAAAAGAAATAACAACACTGACCTGTTCCCAGCACTGAGGAAGCAATTCTGTTTCTGTCCTCATTTCTCCAACATTCTTGGCAAGGCTAACACAGGCCTGAGATAAAGAGTATACTGAAGCTCAAAACCTGTTACCAGTCTTGTTATGCACACGAAATGCTTAAAAGAGTAACTTACATCCATTATAACACGCCGCTGCTGTTCATCTGGACGTTTGATCAAGTTAAACAGTGTATGAGTCAAAGAGTCTCTAGTACCGCTGGCTGGATGCCGCTCAATAGCACACATCATCAGAGGAAGGAGCTCCTGCCGGCCACAGAGACCAGATCACAGATCAACCACCCAGCAAACCTAAACAAGAAATTTGAAAAGAAGAAAAAGGAAGAGAGAAAAAAAGCTCAAACCTCTCGATGGTTTATCAGGACATATGGAACAATCTTTGGCAAAGCATCTGCAAGTATCTGAATTGTTCCTAAACCCTGACAATGGAAAAAAGAAGTTCAGATATCACATATAAAATTTTGTTGAAATAAAACAACAATAGTATTAGCATAAGAGAAGAAAATTATGAAGATCTAAACAAATTTAGCTGATCATAAGAATCTTAGACCACTCCATGGTATAAATAAAAGGAGAAATAACAAAATGAAAACAAGAGGAAGGTGAAATACTCAAAATAATTGTAAGACTTGCCATTTTCTCAGAAGAAGCTTCACTATTTGCATTGTCGGATTTTAAATCGGAGCCACGACCAGTTCCAGAATCCAGTTTCAAGATACTTTCACAGTCTTTGGGTGAAATACTACCATTTGAAAGACTCGTCAGTAATTCTTTTGAGTCTTGCGTCTGGTTCTTTGGGGATCTATCCAATACTTCGTCAGATCCATTGTTTACTTCTGGTGCTACATCTACTGGATCAGGGATCATATTCTTAACCTCTTCTTCAACCAGATCGTCTTTTGTTCCCATGTGCTCTTTCGCAACAGATATAGAATCTTCAGAAATCAGACCACCAACAATCTCTGCTGCGGGTGTCTCAACTTCCTTTGGAAAAGAGTCAGCTTCTTCTGCGCCCTTGTCCACGCATTGAGATTGCACAGGATCTACTTCATTAGCTGCCAGGTACTGATCAGAACGGGAACCTTCAATATGCATTTTAAGGGCAGTGATCTCAGCCCGAGTATCATTGAGGTTCCTCCTCTGATTCTCTAATAATTGTTTCAAACTTTGCACCTGAAAGCTATCAGTGTCAATTCAGGTATTTCAAATTTCGATTATGGAATTCCGTGCTTCTTAAAAAGTGAGATCTACAAAGAATAGTCACCTGCTTTTCTTTGTCCCTAAGGTCTTTCTGAAGTGATTCTATAGATTTGGTTAACGAACTGATTTGCCCTTCAGAAACATCTTTGATCTTAAGAAATTCATCCTTCTCTTTGTTTAGCCTCTCGTTTTCCTTTTTCAATAACTCATTCGTCCGAAGCATGGTTATCTTCTCCTGCGTGAGAGACGTTCTGAAGCATGAGAAATTCATATTCATTGTACATCCAACATATATTGGCTGATATTTATTGTTGGAGATGTTAAAACGTAAAAGTGCAACTTACATATTTGGGGCATTCCTCAAAAACCAAAAACTAACTATTTCAAGGACACAATGCAATATCTTCATCCGATAAAGGGGAGTAAGTATAAATTTGTAAGAAAATCATCAAGGAAATATCGAGTAAATGCGAGAGAGAACCGAAATTATAATCAGGTACACTGCACAGTTGCCAAACCTCAGTAAGAAAACTGCCCAAAACTTTCCATATAAATGACCGAACCATGTCACACTACACCTTATGCCGAATTTACAAGTACGACTTAAATGCATCAAAGATCTAACATTCAATAAATTGAGCATCATAATCGATATTGATTCTAATTATAATATTTATATGCACAATATGGTTTGAAGAAATACCTCAGCTGCCTCTGAAGTTGATGAAAGGTACTGATAGTAATAATGACGCAAAGCATCAGACACACATGCAGGAGTGTCCTGCCAAACGTCTAAGTTCTGGTCTGTCACCTGAGAGAGAAGCAATAAACAGATAATCCCAAGTAACATGCATAAGGAATTTATACTCAGGAACAAAATTAGCAGACTGTCACTAGGTTAGACACTTTCTTTTTTTCTCCCTCTGGCCTCAAAAGAGGTGTTCACTGGACCACATGAACCTTAACATACTTCTGGTCTGTGAACTGGGACAAAAGGAATTAATATACCAGTCCAAGTCCGATAGAACAAAGACCTATTTTACACAAGTGCAAAGACAAAAGTGTCATTAGCTCATATATTTTCTCTTTCCCCATTTGAAGTTAAAATATATCAAGCGCAAAATCAATTTGCAATGAAATATATATATCAAAAGTTCATTTTTTACAGAAGAGAGCAAGTCTAAAATGCTACACTACTAGTTGACGCATAAATAGTTAAGAAAAGTTTAAAAATAATTTAAGAATCTCGGTAAACGTTATTGTTAAGTTAAGATAGGATAAGAAGGACCTTGTGGTCTAAAGGAAACTACATGTAAGTAAACAAGATTCTCAAATTCTAACTACAAGAAACAGGCCGAGGATGAGAGGAACATGGATAGAATGAGTTCAACAAACTGGATTTCGAAAAGCAATAAATATAACTGGTGAGAAAGACAAGGATATATCCAAATAAAAGGATGATACCTCCTCATAAAATGTCATCGCTGTAAGCCGGTATCCTGCTAGAAGAAGATACTCTTTCACAGCACAGTTTAGATCTCTACGTTCTTTATTCTTCAGAGGCCCTAGATCAGTGAATGATTTATCTTTCTTTTTCCGTTGAATTTCTGGCCTGCTGTCTCCACATTCGTCAGAGTTCAACTCTGAAAGCAAACAAAAAGTAAAAGGCCAGCCATATTTAAGGGGCAAAATTTGGTGCTTTAGTTAGTGGCATGCAGGTGTAGATAAGGAAAAAAAATGAAGCATGATGAATAGTGGTTGTATCTATAAAAGAAAAAGCTCCATATAAGTCAATAATATAGAAGTGGAGATTGAATAAACGTAAGCTACAACCTGATATAGAAATGAAATCTATGATACACTGCACAAATTTCTAAATACATCAGAATTTCTGCACTTCTGTGAGATAAATAAGCTTGAAGCATTATACTGACATCAGACAAACTCCTACGCGGTCAATGGTCACTTACATTTCAATATCATAACAGCAAACTTCATGGCAGCATTTACTTGGTAACTATATTAAATCTTTTGATACATTAACCGATAACATATGCACAATTTTTTATCAGTGAGCTCAATGTAACACTAACCATGAGAACAGAAAGAACAGGTTATTAATCATTATAAATGGCAATACCTTCTAATCTGTCAATCGGAGGATCAGATTTCTTCTGCACTTCAGTCTTTAATTTTGTAATGTCCTCCTGAGCTAAACGAAGTTCATATTCACTGATAGCTAGCTTCTCCGCCAGCTTTTCTTTCTCCTCCAACAAACTTTGTGGGTCTGCAACTGCATTGTACAGTAACAATTACTAGCTGTTAAACTATATAGGCCGGGAGAAAAGGGTGGGGCATTTTGGGCTTAACAGGTTTTATGCTACACCAATCTGTACACAGATTTAGACTACTTCACCAGACCACAACAGCACAACACCATAGATGAGGATAAGGAAGACATGACATCAATTCTAAAAAAAAAAGAAGAGAGGCTTCCATAGCACACTTTCACACCAAGAGATATTACATTTAATACACAAAGTTTAGGGAGGTTATTCCATTCAGAAACACAAGCCTAAAATAGCATCCACCAAAACCTGTCTTCTTAGTCCAATTCCAACACCATTCTTAGTTGAAGAGCTTAAACTTTGTATCAGTATCATGCCAGTATGGAAATCTTTTCCAACAGAACTTACTTTCAAGTGCAGGCAACGACGAAACCCTACAAACTGGATGCAGCAAAACATGATTCTCCACCACTCACCACATTGACCATGATTTCAGAAACTACTAAAAACTTTTCCAACTTAGATTTTGACACTAAGCAAATGTTCCTTACACAACCTTTACACAGTCCCTTTTAAATCTATCAAGAACCCATAAACGGGGCTCAGATCTGCATATTACACATCACATCCGCTTTCGTCAACCCGAAATCTAAGTCAAACTTTGATTACAGTAAAAAAAAATGGTTCATGTCGCTTCAACTTAACTTAGCAAAGTTGAAAATTCAGGAATACACCTGCACCGACAAGAATGATTTCAACAAAGCCAGATACCTAGCCGACAAATGTAAGCAACCCAGAAAGAGAATAACAATGCAATGCTATATTCACTGAGACGCAATCATCTACGGATACATACGTTTCGAAAAACACAAAGAGGGTAAAGAAGTGGCAAACCTCGGAGTGAATTGTACCGAGATATCTGATCGGGAGGAAAGCGAGAGGGATCGGAGAAGAAATCTTTAAGGCGAATGGCCTGAGCGTCGCGGCCATCGTCGAGGAGCTCGTGGAGAAGCTCGAACGCCGTCAAGAGGTAGTTCTCCTCCAGGAGGAAGTTAACCACGAAGTTGCACAACGACGATCTCTCCGCATTCATGGTTCTTCTCTTCCCTATAAGCCCTTAAAACCTGGTCAGAACAAACCTCTTCTTCGCCCCGCACTCATTGCCGGGAAGATTCAAACCCTTCTGCCTCTCGTCTTGATCCGATCGGTTTCGCACCCTATTCGCCAAAAACGTGCCCGTGCTCTCACCGACGAATTTCTCCGGAGAGGAGCCCAAAGTGGCAGAAATCGGGTGCAACACGAAGGCGTTAGATTCGGTGGATCTCATGAATGGGAGATGCCAATTGGGCAGAATACCGAGGTTCGGGACACGTGTATGGTTCAGATTACACGATCTCGGTGCCTAGTCGGTTTTTGGTTAAGCGCGAGAGAAAAGTCAACCGCAACGGTTCTCGTACAATAGAGAAGACAGAAAATACCCATTACACGATCATATTTGTATATGAACTCAAATATCTAAGTATAGTGGTTCAGATGTTACATCGATTCAGGTGTACATGGAAATGTATATTTATGGTGCGTATGTATATTACATCAACAACTCCAGTATTTGTAAAAGCCGAAAAAGGACACAGGAAGAAGAAGAAAGAAAAGAAAACACACAAACGCATGTTACAACAACAAAAAAGAAGAAGAAAAAAGAGTAAGAAGAGAGGTGAAACCATGACCGATCACCTCGTTTCGAGCTGGTAGGATGATGATATAAAGCAATGCCTAGCTTTCTTCGGTACGAAGCTCTCAGGCATTGCCGGTTCGAAGCTGAGCAAAAGCTTCGGTAACCATTACAGGTTGGTACTGAGATGGTAAGATGGGAGCAGGAGGCTGAGACTTGTATATCTGAGCACGAGCCGTGTCTTCCTCGAGGTCGTTGTGAGCTTCATTTGGAATCTGCGTCATTGTATCTGCGGATTGGGATGTCGGGTAGATCGGAGACGCCAACTCCGGAATAAGAGGGCTATTGCATCTGACAACCGGTGATTCGGGTTTTGCAGGCGGCTGGTTGGTCGATATGACGGGTGTTTCCATCCAATGTGAAGTGTGAGGTTGGTTACGCTGCTCGGTTGGAATGTAATAGACTGGGTAAGACGGTGGTGGTGGCTGAAACTGGACGTGGTTAGTGGGATGGGGGAGTGGATGATAGGCTGTGTAGTAAGGTGTGTATGGTAATATCCCGGGCGGGTTTTGCACACCGTAGTGTTGTCCCGGGTAAATGTACTGGATATGCTGGTGGTGAGCTTGATTGGGCAATGGAGCTGGTTGATACCCTGGAACTGGAACAGGAACAGGAACAGGAAATGGTTTATTGACCTGTGACACACCTGGATGGCTGAGGAGACCAGTTTCATACAAGTTTGAATAGCCCTTGTTCTCCAGAACAGGAGGAGGACGTGTTGGTAGCTCATGCGAAGATCCAGTTTGGACATGAGGTGTCGGTGTCACGAGGCAATTCTCACTGTTAACAAGGAGAGATGGTAAGAGGAATTTTCATTGCTTAAATCACATACGAAATCGAACTTGGTACTAAAAAAGAGTCATCCTGCCTGATACCACATATCGTGAAAAACACAACCAAGACAACTTGGAACATAAGGAATAAATGCAACAACAAGGAAACATATATCAGAACATCATTGCTTAAGCTACCCGATGAAGAACAATCTATAACCTAAATCTATAACACCCAGTGTATCGATCTATTTTGAAAAGTTGGAATGCAAAAGAATTCGGCACAAGAGACAAGACATTTCTGAAGAAACCGAACCACTGAGGGACGAACAGAGACTAGGTAGCATGTTGGTTGAACATATTCATACATCTTGGAATAAAGCTCAGCATATATTCCCCTCCTTAACTATTTATGCTTTCGGTCATCTCAAAAGCATTGCTTTAACGACTCTAAAACCAAGAACATGAAGCTAGAAATCTAAACGCAGCATAGTATCCCATATTTTAGTCTTTGTTAATATAATCCTTTGTGGAACTCGTTTTAGACACTAAATCGCGCCCCATCTGCTTTGGCGTGGACTATATAGGCTACATAAAAGCCATGTAACACAAGATAAGCCACTCCATTTCTTTGCATACATGGTGTGATCATAATCCTTATGCGAAGAGACAGCTTTACTACCACATTGGTTCTGAATCTGGTTCAGAGAATCTCAAACCCGGTAATCCTGGAGATATGCATTCTACAGATTGAACTGGATAGACTTTTAACGAGCTATACCTAAAAGCACTTGACAGGGTAGAAAATGGTTGAAAGAAAGCATAGTATAATACCTAGTCACTGCCTCAGTTGGGGCAAATTTGACCTGCACATTGGCCATGTTATCCTCGCCGGAGCTCTTGATTGGAGGCAAATTGGTCAAGGAAACCGAGGAGGACGTCGAGCCAAAGGATGAATTGGTCTCGAGCACTATCGACTCCTGCCCAGAGAATCCTCCGTTACCATCTCCGCTGCCTCCTCCACTTCCGTTGCTTCCTTCACTCTGCCCTATCCCCGAGCTCCTTAACGCATCTACGAACCACGTCTCTGTCTTCGGATGCTGAAGCATCGGCTGAGTGAACCCGCAGCGACTAGGCTCAGACTCTCCGATTCCAAGCCAATCATTCTCCGCCACCGCAGCCTTCGACTGAGCCGGATCGACCTGACTCGGACCGCGTCCATTCACCTGACCTTTCAACGGAAAAAGGAACAAACGAATACGAGATTGAGAAGTCGATGACTCGGAGGAGAGACGACCGTGTTCCTCCATCATGATCTGAAGATCCTCGTCCGTCTCGACGGAGATAAGCGAGTCCAGTCCATGATCAGGAAGCTGATACTTGATCTTAAAGCCACAAGAGACTCCGAGAGCGATCGCAAGGTGATTAACAAGAGAAGAGAAGCTCACCGCCGCGGCATCCGGAACGGCGACGATTCGAGTATCCCCGCCGATGTAGTGAAGCGATTTCGTCTGCGGAAGAGACACAACACTACCGCCATACCTACACATCACCCGGAGCTTGCCGTTTGTCGCCTTCGGAGGCGCCGGAGGGATCTTCGCAACCTCCGTCGCGGTGGCGGAGACGCTGGTCATGGTGGTGAGATTTGAAGGGTTTTACTTTCTCTTTGAGCGAGTCTAAGAGACTATTTATCGAATCGAAGAGCTTTGCGTCACTGTGACGGTAACGTTATCTAAATTGAATCTCTTTCTCATAGAGATGCGGACCGGTGTACGGATATCTGGCCGACTCGGCCCAATTAGGATCCGGCCCAATTAGGATCCGGTCCAATTAGGATCCGGCCCACTTAGACCCGATCCGGATTCTGGTTTTTGCTCCATGATTTTCCTTGGAAAAGCAGAGTAATAAGGTATTGGGGGGACCCCAAATCCCTTCAAAAGCCAGTTTCAGTTTGGATATGGATCGGAATCAACGGTTGGAGATGCACCACCGATCAAATCCAGATCAAATCAATGAGAGGTAGGTGAGGAGACTCAAGATTTTAATGGAAAATAATAGAAAACTTTCCCTTAAATTCGCCATATAGTTGAAAATCAACAGAGAGAATGTAATCGAACACAGCAAAGAATGACTGATAATTTACATATAGAGACACCCTTCTCCATTACGGTCACTGAAACGCGTGCTCAAAGCCTAAACCTTTTTCTCTTTTTTTTAACAAACAGGAAGTAAAGGTTGAGCCTTTTTCCGGCCAAGATTTTCTGTGCTCTTCTTCTTCTACACGAGAGAGAGAGAGAGAGAGAGAGAGAGAGAGAGAGAGGGGAGGATTCGACCCATTGCAGGTAATTTTCATGTGTGGATAAAAATTCCACCTTTATTTCCTTTTCCGTGGATTAAAGACTTCTCTTTTTGTGTGGGGCAAAAACTTGCACCGACATATATACACACACATGTATTGCCCATCAGTCGCTATCTGCTTATTATCTCTCTTTCCATTCGTCTGCGAAATTATTGGGCCTTTTTTTTTTAATTCCTTGCTGTTTTGCGATTTTTTTCCTTTTATTTTCTGGTTTTTATTACTGGATTCGTTCCTCTTCCACTGCTGTTGTTCTCGGATTTGAAGCGATAAAATGCCTTGCTTGGATTTTGCTTCCCTTACTCGTTTTCAGATTTTCAGCGGTCTTTCCCAGGTTCGTGGATTTTTGCTGTGCTTTCAAAAGTTGACTCGTGGGTTTGCTTTAATCTCACTTCAGGTTGATGTTTTCTCTCGAATTTTTGTCTCCTTGTGAGTTGATGGGTTTGTTCTACCTTCATAGTTGGTGAACCTTTACCCTTAATAAATCTCATTATAGATCAACCGTTCATCCGTAGTTTTATTTTGAGTTCTAAGGTTTTGTCGTAATTTGCTATTTGGGTCTGTGGGTTCAGTATTCATCTTCATCTTGATCATGGCTTCGGTTGGTTGATGCAAGGAAGAATCGATTCTGGGCTGAAATCATTAGGGTTCTTTTCTTACTTTGTTGAATGTTGGTATTTAGTGTTTTGAACCTCTGATGCTTTTTATTCCCTTGTGATTGTTACACGTTTTTTAGTTCTTTCTTTACAGATATATGATTTACATTCAGTTGTTTATATTTCTTTCGAGCTTGATTTAGGAATGATCACAAGATTAGATTTTGGTGTAGAAGAAAAGTTTTTGTCTCTAGGCTTATAGATAGCTTTAGAATCCAATGGATCTTGAAATCATCAGGTGGACCATAGATCAACAAGTGTCCAATTAGTCAGATTTAGGATACCAGAATTATTGAACCCATATGGCCACAAAACAAGAACCAAAAACTATGTTAAGTTGATGTACACATTTAGGACAATTATCTCTTGTTTTCTCAAAAAACTTGATTGTTTTCTTCTAACCTTGTTTTTATGAGTTTTGGGGGTCTTCATTGTTTCACTTATCAAAATGCAACCTGGAAAGAG